GGGCTGTTACTCCTGGGTGAGGAAGCCACAAAATCACTTTACAGGACTGCAGAACTGTGGGAAAAGTCCAAGATAAATTAAAAATGTAGGTTCTCCAGCTGGATGAAGTGGTGTTTGTGTGCAACACGGTGCCATCAACCACCTCTTCCATCCAACAGCCGGATTCACAGGTTCCTACTCTGGGAAAGCCGATGTGAACCAACAGCCGATAAAACACCATGAACCTCAAATTTTAGGCAGAGATGCTATCAAGCCTCGGAAAGTGTGCATGCTTATCTGGAGCTTCTTTAATTCATTTTTTCCCTCCAGAGGAGGCAGATAGTCCAGTGCAAATGAGCATCTCCAACCTCTTGAGACATGCCTGATCTGTTTTCTTGAGATTAACATACTGGAACAAGTCTTTCCTACAGCGCCCGTTTAACTTTTCAAAGCTCGTTAAAGGTGTTGGGGTCTGCAATAGAGATCTGAGGGAAGGCTTGGGCTGTCTCCTCCCTCATTCTTCACAGAATCACAGAAGTGTTTGGGTTGGAAGGGACCTTAAAGCTCATCTCTTTCCAACCCCCCTGCCAGGGGCAGGGACACCTCCCACTGATTCAACCCATTGCTTTGACACCCCATGTAAGACTAGAAGGGTCTCTGTTCCCAGTGTACAAACATCCTTACCCTCCTATGACCAACCTTTAAGGCTCTTGGCTGCCTCTGAGCAGAGGAACCTCCAACCAAGGGGGCTGGAGGGGAGAAGACTCTGCCAAGGGGGACAAGGAGGTGACAGAGCCACTCTCCTGCACTGTCCTCCACCAAAAATGTCCATGTAGATTGGGAATTAATTTAAAGAGTGTTACGAAAGAGTTCATCTAAACGTAGCAGTTGATTTGGGTGGAAGATGCTGGTTTTTAAAATGTTTTTTAAACATTTAGTTGAGTCCCTAACGTGCAGAGCATCTTCTCCATCATGTGTGAGCAGGACCTGCGAGCTGGCAGGAGTCACTGAAGGCGTTGGCATGGCATCGTCTTGGTTGCCTTGGCAAACCTCTTGCTCCAAATGAGGAGGCGCCGTGGGATCCAGAGAGGGAACAAAAGATGCCCGTGTGTTTGTTAGCGTATGAAAACTCGGCGCTGATGCTCTGTTCACAAGGGAGGAGAGCTGCACACGTTAAGAAAGACGTTTCCACCAGGCTTCTCGCAGAGACACTAACGAGCACACACACTGAAGAGCTTTTTTGGGACCAGGTCTCTAACAAGCTTTGGGGACCTCCAAGACAAGAGGTGGGCACCATGGATCATCAAAAATAATTTTTCCTTGGTCTCAACTTGTGCAGATCGTGACCTTTGTGTCCAGGAGAGCTGACATCTCCCTGCAGCATGAAGCTCCATCATTTCTTGATGGGCTAGAGGAGGGTTTTCAGCTGAAATTCCCTCCTAACAAAGCATATAGCAGCAAAGAACCGTTCATAATGAACAGTAAAATACTCTTTTTTTAATTACTCCCACTGTTAACAACTTAAGCCTTATTTCCACTTTGATGTTACTCATTCCCAGCTATAAGATCTTGTTTCCTTTTTTCTCTGACAGCAGATCCATGTAAATTCGTGTTCAAGATGATCAAACTCTTTCTTATGAAATAAGTGCCCAGAGGCTCTCGCTGTAATACACATTTTTCCAGACTTTTAACCACTCTCATGATTTTCCTCCCAACCCTCTTTACGTTTTAACATCCTCCTTGAAGGATAATCATAAAAACTTGATATAATAATCCTGTATGGGCTGCACCATCCTCCAATAAAGATTATCACTAGCTAACGCTTCCAGCATTCCCTTCCTGACATATACAGGATTGGTTTATTCCTCTCAATGAGTCATTCTCAAGAAAATAAAAAAATGCCCTAAATATATTAATTTTAGCTACTATTTTGATGGCATGGATTTTTTCCAAGTGCCTGGAGGATGGGAAGCAGCCAGCATCCCAAGCAGGGAGCAGTGCAGAGCTGGGCATCGTGGAGGTGCTTAGCCCCAACCCATCAGGGCTTCCATGACTTTTTCATCCACCACTTGGAAATTCCTTCCAAAGCCCTGCGATGGGGCACTGGAAAGGGATTTAAAAAGCCCTGGAGAAGGGATGCATTCGGGTTTTCCCCAGCACTGGTGGGTAGGATGTTACCAACTTAGGGACATGGGTTAGTGGGTTGGGTGGTGTTGGGTTGACGGTTGGACTTGATGACCCTTGAGGTCTTTTCCAACCTTCATGATTCTAACTGCCATAAAAATCCCACAGTGGTCTTGGGTGATGCTGAGACCCACCAGCAGCACTGCTCCCCCCCCTTCCAGCACCAAACCAGGGTGAAAAAAAAAAACCAAAACCAGATAAAAACCCAACACCACTTAGAAGTTTGTTTCATTATAAAGGAATAAACCTCCCCCGAGGCACAGTGTCCCCTCCGTGTCCTTCGCAGGAGCTGCACCCAGGAGGCATTGCTCCAGCACAAGTGCTGTTATCTCAGGGAATTATTAGTATAAAGCCATTATTTGGACTTCTGTCCAAGGAGGGGACTTTTCTAGGACCTCCCAAGAAGGAGCAGAGCTTGCAATGAAGCGAAGAGCCCTCGTGCATCACCTCATTGCCGGCACAACTCTATGAAGAAGGAAATCCACCCCAAGGACTGTACAGAGATTTTAGAGTTTTCCCCTCCTACAGTGGGAGTTGTTCATTTACTTTGAGGAACTGGACTTTTTTACCTGGATAAAAAAACACTAGAGCTTTTTACCCAGGTACTTTTTTTACCCGCTCAGGAGGAAAGCAAAGACCTCAGCTGGTTGTTCCCATCTGCATTGAAGGGCAAGATGAGAGCAGGCAGGTTAAAGAGGCTTGCAACCAGCATTCCAGATAACGTTACAGAAAATAACTACCAAGAGAGGATGCTAAAGCCTTCTCCGCTTCCCTCATTCATCACATCTGACAGTATAATAATTTTGCCTAACACCTAGAAACCATTTCCAGCTAATATTATTTGTTATCTGCAGCAATAGCGTTATACTAATATCTCCAGGGTCACGCAGCCGCCTTTTACAAGACATTGTGTTCACATAATGCGGTTTCTGCTCCAAAACTCCATCTGAGTTTCATGGGAAACAAAAAAAAAAAGAAATAAGAATTATATCAAGCAGAAGAGCCTTCAGACTCCAAGCACTGGTTTTCAGGTGTAGCTGGGTATTTCTGAGCCACGGGGTGCAGTCTGTTCATGAAGCTGAACCCCAGGATCCTTCCCATACCCAATTTGTATGTCAGCCAGAACAACACTGTGTAACGTAATTATAATGATGGAGTTCGCTCTCCATCCAAGCAGCAAATTTTCTCACCTAATACTCATTATTTTCCTTAAAGAATGCTCTCCAAATGCTCTCCACCTCGCCTTTGGGGATGTCAGCCCCAATTCTCCAGCCCCTCCACATCCCAGCAGCTCAGACTGCTCTCCTTTATCAGCAGAAATCTTGCAGGAAAAACACAATTTGAGGTTTTTTTTCTTTTCCTCATTTCAAAAGGAAAGAAAATCAGAAAATCAAATCAAAATATGTCAGGTTTTGCATCCATATAAAAATATCTGAGTGCATCAGTGCCCGCTGTCAGCTGCTGCTCTCCCCCTCCACCCTGAGAGCCCTCAGCCCCTTCTTGCTGCTGATTCACGTTCGAGATGCCCTTCCCAAGCGGGTCATCAGCTTATCCGTTGTGCAAATTCCGTGCACACGGGTGCGAAGCAAAGGCCAGATGGTTTCAAGCGCCATTATAATAACAGCGAGCAAGGACACGAGAGTTTACATAATCTATTTTGCAATCAGAATTCTTCTACATAAAGCTCTTGGGAACGCAGATGCTCTTTCCCCATGGTTCCTTTATGCTCGCCATCGAACACAAGAACTTCAAAATCCTTTCGCTTTCATTGTTTTTCGTTTTGTTTCCTTTCTTTTTACACAGCATGAAGCAAAAACCTCACCCACCGCAGGTTGCCCAGGGAGGTGGTGGAGTCTCCATCCTTGGGGATATGCAAGACGTCCAAGGCAAATGGGTCTGGGTGGTCCTGCTTGAGCAGGGGGTTGGACCAGATGACCCCCAGAGACCCCTGCCCACCTCAACCACCCTGTGATTCCACGATTCAGCCATTCTGCAGCTGCTGGGAGAGATACCTGGTGCGGCTGCAATCTCACTGCACACCAGCGGCCACGCCAGGGAATCACCACTCTGCAAAACGACGTGAATCCTAGTTCCTTGGGGGGGGTCGAGCTTTGCAAGCAAGACAGCGGCTTGTACTGCCTTTGTGCCTCTTTGTGATCTTCTCAGCCCTCGGATGAAATTGAACGTGTATAAGTCCTTGGGACTGGATGATATCCATCCTAGGGTT